CAACAAGACAGAATATGACGAGCACAAGATTTAATGGAACAAATTTAAATGATGACATACTTTGTGATTTTAAAAGATAAATCTAAAATCTGCAAAAAGGGCACATCTCTCCCAACACACTAAGAAATCATTTTTGGGCTCAACTGAAGAAGAAGAAAAAAAAAGAACAGTTTGTACCAGTCCTATTGAGGTGTGACATCTTCTAATGGAATTATGTTCAACCAACAAACTGGCTCTTCCTCTTCAATCAAAGGTGTTTTTAATCACCAGGCGTGTTAAGACAGAGGAGAGAACTAGATCCTGAAAAAAAAAGGTGAAGAAAAATGCATCCATCAGACCAGTTTTATTACTGACCTCAAACTTAGTTTTAATCCAGTTAATGCAAAAAGTTGAGTTTAAATTACACAAAATATTAAATAGATTGAATCACAGACGTTCTCATATCAGTCCGACGCATCACAATCAACTTTGCTACTGAAATTAGATTTTAGGTCGGCCGTGAAGATCATTTTCAGTACTTTAGACAATTTCCCTGCAGCACTGCACATCATTAAATATCCAATAAATCCTGGTCACATCTGAACCCTAACGAACACATTTTAAGTCCCTCGATACTGACTTAGCAATAATTTTCAAAATCTGCCAACTTAAGAGTATGTGTTCATAATTACACCTAGAAATCCATTTTGAATAACAGTATTTGGAACAACTGAATTTTCATAAATAATCAACTTTAAATGCCTTTAATTTTAGAGGAGAAGCTAATTCCCTGAACTCAATATAGTTTGTTGGTTGAACATAGTTTCATTAGAACCTGTCATGGCTCAACAAGACTGATGCACTGTTGAGCCAAAACATCATTTTCTAGAGTTCCTGGTCATACTCCACCGTTGTGAAGGCTGCTAGTCTTGTATAAAATATGAATTAGCTGAGTTGCCAAATAAATGCAGAGCACTAATAAATAACCTGCAACATGTGGCAGGAGATGCAGGGCAGGTTTATCTGGTGCACCTTTCACCAGCAAGGCAATTCAGGGGGCTTTAAATGAGACAAAACAGGCATTAAAACACAAAAGAAACAACAGACAATACACAGGAGGAGAACACACAATAGTAAAGACACGGCCATAAAAGAGCAATGGAATGATTTACCAGGAGAATAACAAAGCAGCGGTGCGCAAGAAGCATCGAATGGAAAGGCTGTAAAAGGAAGGATCACAAAACTGTCCTGAAATGCAGCACTTGTGTGAACGTACGTGGTCCTGTTTCACCATTCAGCTCAAAGCCAGAATCCCTCCAGCAGGAGCTGCCAGATACGCACACATGGCACGGCGCGCGATCCATCCTTCCTGGCAGACTCCCTCCCTCCTCCCTCCCAGTCCTGTCGGCACTTTGAAATCTGCATCACCCCGCTCTCATTTCTGTTTACAAGAGTCAAATTGCTTCCACACACTTTATTTGTAAAAAGCCGATAGATGTGCAGAGAGAGGGAGACAGAAAGCGGCGCTGCGCCAGAGGCGGTCACGGCACACGCATTTTTTACTCGCGCGGTAAATACCTCCACCGTTAAACATCAACACACAGTCATCCTGATGAGTGGTCTGAGAGGCGACAGTCTAACAAGCTGCTCCTTGACTCATCGCTTATTACCCAGTCTGACCTGCTGCTTCACTGATTTCGTGCATGCATGAAATGAATGATGCTCAGTGGAAAGTTGGCCCAAACTCCTCTCCTCCTCCTCAGAAGTGCCCCCGAAGAGCTCCTTCTGACTGATGCTTGTTTTAATTGCAACTATTTTTTTTCTTCTTCTGACAATAAGATTTACAGTTTGGGTGGTCTGACTAAATACTTTGAGATTGGACTTTCCAAAGAGGAAAACAGTCACCGAGGAACAGACAGGGAAGGAGAAGAGGATGGGACAGGGGGGGATTGTTCAATGGGTTCTACATTTCTTAATCATACGTCAAGTGGTCACAGGCAGGATGGATGTGGACATCGGCCAGGCCCAGCATAAATACTCCTCGGCACCAGTGGTTCTTAAAATAGGGCTTGGAGCCTTGGAGATTGAGGAGAAAATAAGGAAAAGTTTATCCTTTCACTCTGCCAAAATCACACACAATGATTCTGTGCCCAACATGCAAATCTTGGAGAGTCTGGAGCTTAAAGCCAATAAGGAGGAGACAGAGAGGAGACAAGGCTGCACAACCAGAGGCATCCAAGCTGAACGTCTCAACCAAATCCAACCAATGACCAATAAAAGGACACCTGCTGACAGTAAAAAGGTTCCACTTTCACCATCTAATGCAGTAAGACAACAAACGTTCCTGTAATAATGTGGAGCCGAGAGGAGAGGAAGCAGGACCCCAGCATGAGCGCTAAGGACACTTTCAATCTGCAAATTTAATGATATGCGTAGTTTTTGGCTGAATAAATAGCTTGACAGACTTTAGAGCAGGGGTCTCAAACTCGTGGCCCGGGGGCCAATTGCGGTCCACAGAACGATATTTTGTGGCCCCCTACTTGACATCAAAGTTTAGTGTTAGCGCCAGTCGCTGCCCTGGTGTTTTATATTTTTAACCCTGTGGGCTGCCGTAGCTCAGGCTCGTGACAGCAACGTGAATTAGCAACGCTAGTCACTGGAAACGTGATTCGGGAGTGTCACCGCGTGGAGGGAACATACATCCTGTCACCCAGTGCAAACGCGTTTCTTTTCTTCTACCTGTGTGAGAAGCTCTTCTCCACCATGAACTTTAACAAGTCAAAGCACAGGTCCAAACTTACTGATGAGCATCTTCAAGCCACACTGAGGATCTCAACTGCTTCCTCCCTCAAGCCCACCGTGGCTCAGCTGTAGGAGGAAGTGTAGGGAAGAGAAGCCGATGTTCTGAAGAACCGTTCATGTTCTGAATTGTTATTAATAAAGATTGAGAGGATTGGATCAGTTGTACTTTTTTGTGGAATACTTGATGCGGCCCAGCCTCAGCCAGACTCTTATCTCCAGCGGCCCCTGGCTAAGTTGAGTTTGAGACCCCTCCATCCACCCCGTGCTCCAAACAGTCACATGGTTTAGCCCCTACAGAAAACAGGTAATCTGCAGAAGGGTAACTGCCTCTCATGACTTCAGAGGAACTTTGAAGCCATTACATAATTTGTAAAAGTAAATAAGATACTAAAAATATACTAAATCACCAGCGTGACAGAAAACACAGCTGCTGCTATCAAAGGAAAACACAGTCAACACAACTTGTGGCCTATTAACATCCATTGTGCCTTCATGTCTGGTTTGCTCTACTTGTCAGATGTTGGAAACGGATCCACCTTAAGGATGCTGACATACACAATTTATACCAAACAGGGATTTTGTTAAGGTATCAGTGGAGCCACAAAACTTGTGCACTTGTGGCCCTCTGCTCCCTGACTGGCTCTCCTCGCTGGTTTACACTTAATACTGACAATATGGATGATGCCAAACAATAAAAGACACTTTTCTAGGCTCTGAAGAGGCTCTACAAATATAAAACATCCATGTATTTCCATAATAGAATAAATAAAATCCTGCTGTTGCTGCAGCTGAAGGTGTCCCGTCAGTGGTTTCACAAACGTCTTTTGTAAACACCGCATGTGGAGAAAGTACTTCTGTTTGCATGTTGCAATGCTGTGAGTGACCAGTGGGACAACTGAGCAGCAGAGTCGCATCCATCTGTCGCAATGCATCCACGCCGAACGCAGAATAGCTTCCTTGTGAACTTTTGCACAACGTAAACAGAAGCCATGGCGAAACTTGAGGTCGCGATACTGTAAATGCTGAGACTGGAGATGTGGTTGGTTTCTCAGCCAGACGGGCTGTGAGAGTTTTTGCTTTCAGAAACTTTGGGCCGTTGTTGTGGTGATCCAGATCTGCAGCTGGCCTTTCTCTCTGGCCTAAATGGCCAGGCACTGAATGGGATCTCTCATTCTGAAAGACGTCCACAACCAAAGCTCCAAAGAATGCAGGACGTGTGAGGAGCAAGCACATCAGCAAGACTGAAATATGGGGGGATTTGTCAATTCCACTGATTACACTTTGATTATGCACGTTAACTTGTCGATTCAGTCATTTGTACAGACACCACAACGGATTCATTAAAAGGGGAAAGAGGCCCAACGATGCTTTCTTTGCACAGTTGTCAAAGTTTTACTTCTATATCACCACATGTGTATACGGTGCTGCTTTAAGACGAGTTCTCAGATGGTGGGGCCTGAGCTAGCTGATCCATTCGGCCTTCTTGGTTTGAGAACTGAATCTCTCAGCTCACTCCTTTTTCCAGTTCATCACCTGCTGTCTTTAATTCATGCATGCTGTTTTCTCTTTCTCCCGCTCTGTTCTCCCGCTCTCTGTCACCCCTTTTGAAGTCTCGGGGAGTCCTGTGGTTTTCAAAGGGTCAGAGAAGGGCAGCCCTACTGTCCTATCGAAGACGGGCCGCGGGATAAACTGATGTCACCACCTGTCCTTGCTGCTCTGTCAACACGGCTGGTGTCGCCGTGCCGGCACCTCATCATCTCACCCCCTGCAGCTTGTACATTATTCCCTCTTGCTCTCACACACCGAACTGGAGGAGCGGCCCAGCAAACGCTCAAGGTAGCGCTGCTGCCGCCCACATAGACACACACAGAAACGTGCACGCTGCTAGTGCAGGACCCCCACTGTCTGACAACCGTCACACTGAGACAAATCAAGAAGTCCCGCTGCTAAAAGCCCACCCTTTCCTCACACTTCACATTACAGAGGACTCTTTCTGCCCCAAGCCCAAACCAGTGGGGGTTGTTTAGCTGAGAGAAAGGGCTGTGTCCTGGGGAGAGAGTCAATTGCAGGTCTGGGGTCACACAGAGAGTAGAAAGAGGCAGCTAAAGTCCCTCCAGATTAAAAATTAGCCTTTCAAATGACAGCCATAGATCAAACTGCATAGGGAACTGGGGGTCTTTTTGATGCTCCCATTGAAGAGAAAGTTTTAGAAGCTCTTCTCATTCAGTTCCAGTTTCCTGTCCTGCTTGGCCAGAAGGAAAGGTCCCAGGACCTGCCACATCTGGAAGGGAGGCCAAGGTGGAGCAGGACGATCCAAAACTGGACACCAGGCCCGAGTCCGAGTCTGACAAAGCCAGCTCCTCAAACCTCTGTATGACTCTCCTCACAGACTGGAAGGGAACCTCCCTGCGCCACCGACTAGCGTCGGCCCCACGAGGCCCCCTGTAGGCCGAGTCCTTACTGAGGAACACGTGAGGAGGAGGGGGGAGGCCGCAGCGCAGCCTCAGCCTGCCCTGGCCCAGTCCCAGCGCTGGGCGCACTCCAGCAGGGCCGAAGCGGGTGGGCAGCGTGGTGAGATGCTCCCGGGTCACAGGGTTGTGGAAGCTCAGGGTTCCCCCTCCGATGTTGAGGAAGACCCCGAGGCTTTTGATCTGAGGCGGGACAGTGCAAAGTGGCTCACAGCTCCCATCGTACACGGCACAGAAGGACGAGTCGTGCCTCTCAAGCCACCAGCCAGCGGAGCCGTCCAATGAGATCACTCCTGAGAGAGACACAAAAGCAAAGTTTCCTCAACCATCACACTCATACCTTGAGTCTGTAGAGGCCTGTGGTTCTAGGGATGTTTAATCAAGGGTGAAACATCTCAAGTACTCCAGGAACGTTCCTGTGATAGACTGGCGACCTGTCACCCTGAGTCAGCTGGTAGAGGCCCCAGCCCCCCGCCACCCCACAGAGGACTAAGTGGTGCATAGACAATAGATGGATGGACCCCAGGATTGGTATCCTATTGAATATGGTTAGATGCTCCCCTGGCCTTTCCCTTAAAGCCACTGTAAGGTTAACATTTGTGTCTGTTTGGATGGATTTCTGGAGCTGTGTCATAATATATTTTTCCAGCAAACTACTGAAATATTTTTGAAACAAAAACAAAAAAACAAAAAAAAAGAAGCTAGTTTCCACTAACTACTTTGAAGTGACAAATGGGCTGTGTAGCGCCGTCAGAGGGTGCCAATACTGACTACATTACACAGAACTGCTGTAAACAGAGCTGCAGAAGCCAGAATCAAAGCCAGGCCTGCATTCCAAGTCATATACTTTATATTTTTACTCTGTGTGTACTACAAGTGCTCTCAGTGAAGTACTCATGGTTGCATCCAGTAAGCATACAACTGGGACAGATTACTTTGTCATAATATTGCGCCTTAAGCTTTAACCGTCCTGCTCATACATCTGTGTGAAATCACCTATCTTTGTGCTGTTGGCAGCTCAAGACGCTGTGACATATGTGACAAATCTTCCACTGTGCAGAGGATTATGGGTCAGAATGGCCCTGCTGGTTCACATGCTGCAAAATGCAACTGGATGCAGTAGGACATGCTCGTACTTTTGGTAGACTAAGTATTGGAACATGCAAATTCAGTTTCTCTCATGCTATTTATTGGCAGAATAGGTGTTGGAACGGACCACAGTTGCTAGAAAATCACTGGCAGAAGAAAAAGACGCAAACAAAACTTTGGCCATTTCCAAAAGAAGCGTGGAGAGAAGTCTGCAGGAATCGTCTTCAAACAGGAAAGCTGCAATTATGCCTTCCTGTCAGCTGCTGTTAACGATGTTTCATGAAACAGAACTACTGATCAGTTATGTGAGCTCAGTGCTTGCTATTCAGAATGTATTTGGAAAAGATGTCTGTGAAGATTCTCAGTCCTCCAGGTCCTGGTTCTTCTGGTAGATTAATGGTAGCAACTGGACCTGCTTGAGTTCCTTGAAGACGTTCCACCTCCATCCAAGAGGCTTCATCAGCTCTGACTGACTGGTTGGGAGTTCCACATACTGATATCCTGAAGGAGACATGAACACCTGAGTTTGGGTTTCAGTTGGAGGTGTGTTGCTCCTCACCCTCGTTATGTGGGGCGTTGGTGCTCCCCTGACACAAAGGGGTTCCTTATTTGGAAAAGATGTTTCTATTGCCCATGAAGCTCATTAAGTCTTGATTGAAAAAAACAAAAAACAAAAAGCCAAACATCTCAAGCAAGTGTAAAAACATTTTGGGGAAATTGAGGAAGCTTCATCCAATGCTGCTGTTTTTATTTACGTTTTCTTATGCTATAAAAGCACATTACTGAAACCTGATATTTGGTGAAGACAATCATTTGTCCCGGTGGATGAGCTGTAATAACTTTGGTGTTTCCCCACACTTTTCATGTAGCACCATTATCAGATCATTACTTCACTTTGTCCGACACTATTATGACCAAATACCTGAAAAACAAAACCAAACTAATGAAGTTCCTGTCAGAATTAGCTTGGGCTAAGAGCTGATTAGCAAATGCTATCCTGCCGACATACACCAGCATTGTTCATGTAAGAATGTTAGCATGAAGGGCTGCAGGTGTCTCGGTGGTTAGCACCGTTAGCGCCTCACAGCTAGAAGGTCGCCGGTTGGCGTCCCGGTGAGGACACCCGGGATCTTCCTGCGTGGAGTCTCCATGTTCTCCCCGTGCAGCGTGGGTTCTCTCCGGGTTCTCCGGCTTCCTCCCACAGTCCAGAAACATGCTGAGGTTAATTGGTGATTCTAAATTGTCCGTAGGTGTGAATGTGAGTGTGCTTGGTTGTCTGTCTCTAAGTGTAGCCCTGTGATAGACTGGTTACCTGTCCAGGTGAACCTGCCTTCACCCTGAGTCAGCTGGGATAGACTCCAGCCCCCCGTGACCCTAGTGAGGATTAAGCGGTGTGTAGATGATGGATGGAAGGATGCTAGCATGGAGACATTAGCCTTTAGCTTAAAACACCTGAATAGCTGTGTGAGTAAAACCTCGTGCCTGGAGCTGTGAGCCTCGGTCAACTGTTGATGTGATGTTAGAAACCTGAGGAGACCTTCGATATGAGAGGGTCCTGAAGGCAGTAGCTTCGAAAAGAGGAAATGTCTGAAGCAGCTGAAGATAAGGAATAGATTTTTGTGCTGCAGGATGAATCATGTAATTCAGAAGCAGGACTGGACTATGCATATCGCCGTCTCCAACAATGTGCATTTATGGCTGCAGCTGCTCAACCTGCACTGCTTCGGAAGGTTTGACAAAATATCAATTCATTGTCAGGACGTATAGTGATGTGTACAAATACAACATCAATATTTCAACTGCTGAAGTCAATTAATATCAACAACGTTTGGGCACTTCAGAAGTTTTCTGTTACGTAATACCACCAGGGAGGCATCTGATCAGCGTGACAAAAAGCCCAAACACAAAGCAGCAAGTAGAACAGGGAGTCCTGCAACACATGGTACGGCCTCCACAGAGCCCTGATCACAACATCCTTGAGTCAGTTTGGGTTACACAAGGAGACAGAAAGCAGTGACACAGTTCTCCAACATGTTTGGAACAGCCTACCCCCAGTAAACCTCCAAGAGCTGTGTGAGCGTGTCCAGAGAAAAACAGGCAAAAGGTGCAAACACCTTCTATTGATTAGATTACGTTTCTTTTCTCTTCATTGCAACGGTTTTGCAGCGTATACAGCGTTTGTATATGTTAAGAACGGCCCTTTTTTCCCCATGTTGCCAAACCAGTGATCAATGATGTGTCAGTGCTCGAACCACTTGGCGGCACCGTGAACGATGAAGACGTCTGATGACGTGTGCGTGTGTGTGTGTTTGCACACTGATGTGAGTGTGGGCCTGAACAAGCTCAGTCTTGCTGACTAACGGTGAGGGTTTCTGGAAGCAATAAGCAAACTGGCATCGAACCAATCAAAACAAACTCCAGAGAGCTCTCACCGATCCTGTAGATGGAGCTGTTACAGACGTCCACCTCCCAGTAGTATTGTCCCTGCGCAATCACAACATCTGCGCAGACATGAAAGAGGACTCTGGGGTCAGGGCTCATCGTCGGTTTCCTGATCTTGTTTTCTGGAGGAGGGGCAGAGGGACTCTCTCTGTGGTAGGTGACCGTGAGGGAGGAGTTGGAAAGATGGAGGGATGGTGGGACAGTTGAAGGGTCCAGAGCAAAATGCAGTCCTGAAATAGGTCAGAGTGAGAACAGGACTGGACAGAGCAGGAGGAGAACATGCACAGAAAGTTCCTTCATCCAAACCTATAACTCGTCATCTAAACACAAAAATGTATTTCTTGGGGACTAAAAGGAGTAAATAGGATTCCTGACCGAACACGGACCGCTCCATTTCCTCTTCTTGCAGGTCAACAGCACCATCCTGTGGTGATGCTGAGGAACTGGCAGCATCGGAGCCTGGATGAAACAGTGAAAGGCGCTCAGGTTCCTTGTCCACAGTGAAAATCATGTGTCTTATTCCAGGGAACTGGCAGGACCATACTCACAGTGTAAACCGGTCTGTGCTGTTTCCTCCCCCTGAATGCAGAACACATAGGACAGCATTAAATATACAACAATATATATGCATATAGTAGTTACATCCCATTGAACTTAATATTTTACTATATATTACAACTTCACAATAGCACTTGTTTGTGGTGTCTGTAGCATCAAATAAATGACAAATATACAGGTTAAGACAACAAAACAAAGCTGTGACTTCAATAAATAGCTTTACAATTCAGGAAATACACTCTCTTGCACTCTGGCCACCATCAGGATGCTACAGTTGGGAGGCCATTAGCTTAGCTTAGCTCAGCATAAAGACAGACTTTACATAAAAGATGGACATAGTCTCCAGGTTGAAACAGTAAAGCCGATGTTCAAGTGCTTTAAACTTGTATTCCTTCCAACAGCCAGCAGGGAGCATCTCTTATGGCTGCAAAGACAAATCTGATTGTACCGAAGTCTAAGAGAAAATGATCCTACTTCCCACTTAATTTGTTAAGTGAGGAAACATTTTCCCGTGTAGCTCAAGGTCTACAGACATCTCAGTGGACAAGACCATCTTCTACACAGTCAGTGAACTGAAAACAGCAGAAAACTGCAAGCCTGGTTCTCTCAAAATAACAAAATCCACCGACCAGCACCTTTACAGTTCACTGACTCACATCTTGTTTTGTTGTTGTTGTTTTAGCCGGGTATCATGCAGCCCTGCCTCAGTCCTACTGCAGTCAACTCCAGTCTTGTTGTTAGAGTGAACTTAGCAGAAGGCCAGCTTCCAGGATTAAGTTTTGGAGTAAAGAGTAGACAAACAAGATCCAAGTTAAGCTTTAGACATGTTGCTTCAGAGTCTTCTATTTGTTCAACTCTTAAGAAGACACACACGTGTCAAACCATTGCTCCAAGAAAAACAAAGGGTTGCTTTTGGATGTCGTTTTGTGTGCATGTGGGGAAATACACATCAAAGGTGTGATAAGAACACGTCTACACAGCGGTGGCTTTGGTTCACCTGCTGAACCTGCCTCACTGCGCCATCTAGTGGTGGATCATGTTTGGCCTAAGAGGACCAGAGATTCTACAGATTTGAGTAAAACATCCAGTTATATGAAATGAGCAATGCTGCATCTTTTTTGTGAAGAGTGTAGTTTTAAACCACTCATTTTATTGGCAATTACATGCAAGAAACTCATATTTAAGATATACAAACTGGTCAGGGATATTCATCCATCCATCATCTACACCTTAATCCTCACCAGGGTCATGGGGGGCTGGAGTCTATCCCAGCTGACTCAGGGTGAAGGCAGGTTCACCTGGACAGGTAACCAGTCTATCACAGGGCTACACTTAGAGACAGACAACCAAGCACACTCACATTCACACCTACGGACAATTTACAATCACCAATTAACCTCAGCATGTTTCTGGACCCTGCATTGTGACAAAAACACTTTAATGTCTCTCTTTGGCCATTGATTAAACCTCAAAAAATAATTTCTTATATATTTTATATTTATACATTGGGTTTTTTTTCAATTAAAATAATTAATTCATACCTTGAAGTGGCTTAGATGCAACTCTACAACATTGCTTCCTTTTAGACTTCCAGCTCAAGCACACCAGCTCACCTGTGACTCTGCTCAGACTGTCACAGCTACTACACACTGCACAATGAGAGGCTGTAACACTGCAGTAATTCAGCCGTACACGTTCAAACCAGAAACCGAGACTGAAACTGTCGCTAGTGCCCTGCAGGCCACGCTGGAAACACTCATGGTGCTCACTGCTTTGTTCACTCGTGAGTCCAGCATATAACACAAAAAAAACAGTTATTGTGTCCAGAGTGGCTCTTTGAATTCAAAATGTTTAATTTTTTCTGTCAGTCAGGATGTCTCACCTGCTCACGTTGAAGCTGATCTCCAGGTGACCCGTCTTCGATGCCTGGCTGCCGGTGCTTGGGGAGACAGGATGTGGCAGACGACCAGGCCCAGCACGGCAGCTCCACATCACGTCTGCAGCAGGGGCACGGCACCGAGCAGACAGACTGACACGACCTGGATCCCTCTGCAGCAGCGACACAGCGACCACACATGGTGTGAGAGCACGGCAGGATCAGGGCCACGTCACAGTCCTGGTTACAAGCCGGGCAGCGGGGGAACTGCTGCAAACAATCTTTTTCCTCATCTTCTCGCCTTTTGTACTTTTCCACATCCTTGGGTTTTATTAAGGGCTTTACTGCCATCCCATTTCTTTGTCTACATGCCTCGTTCCTGTCAATGTGCGTCATCCACTTGTAATAATATGTAGAAAATCCACATTTCCTTTTATTCCCAACATGGAGACACAACCTAACTGCAGATATCCAGCTATAATCTTCAGGGGGGGAAAAAAAAAGGCCTCAGTCTCTACAGAAGCAGCATCCTCCCCAAAATCCTCAGAGAAAAGAGACACAGAGGCGACAGCTTATTGTAAAGACGTCCTTTTGCCAGAAAGTCACAGAGATGTTCTAACGGTAGGACATGTCCCACTGTGCCAAAAATGATTCTTCTGGAGCTGAGCAGAAGCCCATTGTCAGCCTGCAGGGTAGAAAGAGCGCAGCTGAGGAGATATTAAGAAATCCTCCTGTTGTGTCGTGCTGTCTGTCTCCCAGCTGACTGTGGTGGGTGAGGGAGGTAGGGAGAGAGCGAGAGGGGAGGCCAGCTTTTTGAAGGGTACTCGTCGCTTGGGGTTGCCATGGTTACGGCTCTCCCCGCAGAGACGCACAACTGCAGGATAAAGCGCCGCAAAGAACCCTCGTGCATGCCCATCTACATGTGAACAAAGAGCTGGTTAATGCCACGGGGAAGGGCCACGCCACGTACGGTACACAGCTAAACACTAAGGTTACTCCTCCTGGTGCGCCTCTCTCATGGAGGACTCCCGACAGGCAGCACCTTCAGGAGAACATGATGCACATGTCAAAGATATCTGTCACAACTCTTTGGGATTCACAAAGACGACTCATTGTCCCCCACAGGGTCTGCAGTGTCGGGGGCACAGCTGAGGTCAGGGAACGGGGGGGCTGTCTGAGGCTGTGAATGGGACAAAAGGCAGCGCTTCCTGGGCAAATCAGAGGAGAGGTACGAGGATCTGCTTTGATTTGTTGCCGGTTTTCAGGTGCAATAGCAAGAATTGAAAAGGACGTGTGAGGAAAAAGAACAAGCAAAGACAAGCAAAAATAGACTTCCTGTTTAGTGTGACTCCTGCCAACCATGACGGAAGCGTTGCACAAGATGATATCGCTAGTTTGTCATATTTGCACTTATATAATATTGCTGATGGAAAAATACAACTTGCTGAATGTCGTATCGATACTGATCTGGTCCTTGTGTCTGTTGCACTTGAAAGTGTTTTGCAGACACATTCTCACCCAAAACCAATCTGAACAGGTTTGTGTTGTCAGTTATGTAATTAAACAGCCACAGGATGGTTTTTTTGTCTCTAGTGTTGTCATGATACTCAAATTTTAAACTCGATTTCGACACTGGGGAAAAAAAAAACCTCAATACCGATTTCGATACCACGGAGAAAATAAAAAAAATCAACAAATAACTCTCCTTTTGTCCAGACGCTTGTGTAACAGTGCAAACAAAGAAGAAACAGTCTTAAAGTGTGCACTAAATACTGCAACCAGAATTGATTTGAACACAATTTCACACAAACCTTTTAAATAAAAAAGCATCAGCTGAAGAGAACTTTTTTTTAAAGTGCACACCAGACATGGTCGTGGCTGCTGATGACATAAAGCAGGTCATGTAGGCTGAGTGGACGGTTGGTCTGCTTCAGCCTCAGTTTGGCGCGAGAAGAAAAATAAACGATGCATACAAAACTACAAATCATGATGTCACATGAAACTAAAACCCCTGACTGCACCAACAGCGTCAGCTTGTTCATCTCTTTATCCAGGTTTAACATGGACTCACGTAGAAAATGTTCAGTGTGCTGGTGGTGGAAGTCAACTTTTACATTTAATGTGTGATGAAAATATTTATCAGTCCATGTAGTGCAATGTTAGGCTTCTCTGCGTGTGCTTGCTAAAAGCCTCATTTAGTATCGAGGTAATGATATTTTTGTTAAACCCTGCTTGTATCTATAAAGGAGCAGCACACTGACAGAAGCTGCTCTTCCCAGAATGTGCTTTCTGTTATAATGAAATATTGATCTTATGATTCATAACTGATCTCTTGTAGAATTTTTCTAACAATTGCAATCATTAACTGTACCTGCATTTAACTGTAAATTAGATTTTCTTCTTTCAAAATGTATAAAATATGAATTGCAGATGTACCACTTAGTCTTTATGATTCAGAATTTAGACGTATCTGCTTTGTTTATATTGTGGACATTTATTCAAAGGCAGCAACGTGTGACAAACCATCCATCATCTCTACACCTTAATCCTCACCAGGGTCATGGGGGGCCGGAGCCTATCCCAGCTGACTCAGGGTGAAGGCAGGTTCACCTGGACAGGTAACCAGTCTATCACAGGGCTACACTTAGAGACAGACAACCAAGCACACTCACATTCACACCTACGGACAATTTACAATCACCAATTAACCTCAGCATGTTTCTGGACTGTGGGAGGAAGCCGGAGAACCCGGAGAGAACCCACGCTGCACGGGGAGAACATGGAGACTCCACGCAGAAAGATCCCGGGTGTCTGCGAACCGGCGACCTTCTTGCTGCGAGGCGACGGTGCTAACCACCGAGCCACCTGCAGCCCTGTATGACAAACTAGTCTATTAAAATTAGTTCAGGAAAGTTTAAAAAAATAAAAAAAATCTACAAAAACGATGACGCCGATTCAAAGTCTTCAAGACACCCACACGCTTGACTGAGACAAGTCCTAAAGAGACACCAACAGCACCAGAACCCAACTGCTGATCTGGTCATGGTGATCGGGGCTGTCTGGCTTTTAAGCACCGCAGTGATTGCTGAGGGGTGACGGGTGCATTTGGCCACTCCTGTTGCTTTTCAGGGCCTCACCTGAAAAGAGGAGCAACACACAACCTACCTACATATGAATACAGCACTGAGACGGTAACACCCCCTCCCATAAAAACACATCTGTTTGAAACACAAGTCTATCAGCTGTCTTTGCAATAACACTCTATGTCAGCACTCATCCACAGGACAGAGCATCAGCCACTACACTGTCAGCTTTAACGCAACCAAAACGCTTCTTAAACACCTTCAAACGGCCATGTTTTGTTCGGGGTGATGGACCAACATGATGACCAGTTGCACAAGTAAATGGCTCACCAACAGCAGGAACAAGGCACAGAAGAGTAATCTTTATGCTGGACGGCACCTCACTGGCTGACTGGCAACCTGTCCTCAAACAGAAGCAAGGTGAGTGTAGCATAAACCAGCCTTCTGGGCCTGCTCATGGGCCTTCGCTCTGGTCAGCACCACACTGCACATATGTCAGGACAAGTCATGTCCTGCATCGAGGCAGCAATTTGGGAATCCACAACTATAGCAACAGGATACACTCTGCAACGTCATTCCCCATAATCATGTCAACACCAACGATATGAAAACTAGTTCTGACACCCTTGAGAAGAAACCACCAACCACGTTTTTCTGGATATGGATCTGGTGAAGAGGAGTGGGCCCTGAACCCATGGCAACACCTGTCTGTCACCACTGCAGTTACAACGCTGGAGAGAATGAGGGACTGAACAGCTCGCATCACTCACCACTGGTCCTCCACCTTTCCTGTCAAGGAGAAATATCCTTTGAACTTGAACAGCTTCAGGCAGACAGGTACCTTCTGAACAGCGGACTGAGCAGTGAGAGATGTAGTTAACATCAATCCCACTTCTTTAGGCCGTTTTAGGACTGACCCCTGCTGCACACTCAGATTCACGACAGAATAAACACGTCCTCTCCGCCTCAGGACCTGATGACATCTTACCTGTGATCTGCTGCACACCAGCTTGCTGAGACGATTCACAGAGGGAGGAGTCGTGCTTCAGAACATTTTTGTGCATTAAAATGAACTCTTCTGGTCAAGTAGCGGCCTGCTGCAAAGCAGAAACCTGCTCGTTTAGATACACAGCTGTATGCTCTGACAGACAGTTTTTAAACTGTAACACCATAAGTTCCCGACAGCGGTTAAATCAGCTCTACAGGCTGCTCACCGTCTGACAAACAGCAACCCTTTTCCCATGTGAAGTCCATGTAGCTCTGGCCTGACAGCTTAAGGCCATAGAAGCGCATCTGTGTGCCTCCGAAACCAACTCATAAGCAGGCAAAATAGCATCTTTCACCCTTTCATAAACCAAACCCTCCTCCACAGAGAGAGGAACAGGCCTCCTGACCTTTACCTGGTCACTTACACTAGCAGTATTGCCCACACATCTTCAGGCCGACGTAAAGCAACAGCTCAACAGCTCAACCGCACCAAAATATGCCGCAATTTCCATCTCACAAAAAAACTAAACAAATATTTGTACTCACGTCAAATGAAGAGTCTGAGTGGGGAACTCATGACTTTGTGTAGTTGGAGCTGAAGCATCCCAACAGGTCTGTTCCTCCAACTTCCTGCAAAGCTCCAACCGTAGCTCCTCTTTCTGGAAACGAGACAAACAGATTTTCAAACGAGCATCCAACCTGGAGCCTGGAGCCGACTCGAAAGACGGCGGGTCAAAGCGTGGCGACGTGAACAGCCTTACTTCCGGTGTACGCAGCCTTTCACCCGGTGAACCGGAAACCGGCGGTTCAGCCTCCTACCGACCCCGAGAGCTCCGCTGCAGCCCCCCCGGTCCTCAGGCCTCAGCCACCAGACCAGGAGAGGTAGAAACTCCTTCACTCACCAGTTCATTGGACAAAACGGTCTTTAACTCTTGTCTAATGGCTGAAGTTACACCGTCATGTTCAGCGACTGCAAACAAATCCTTCCTCCTGCTCCTGTCGGATTAGCCACAAACCGATAAAACAAACGCCGCCGTGATTTCAGTTTGATGTAAACACTTCAACAGTTACGATGTATCTGTGCCGTGCTAAGTAGCTAGCATTAGCGCTAGCGCTATTCTATCTTATGCGTTTACCGCCAACAGGTCATTCCACAGCTCCGAACCTTGTAGGTGAAAACCCGAACACTGTCCTCGCTAAAACTCTTCTTTTA